TTTTCAAGGCAGAGTCGAAGAAACGACTTTCAGAAAACTTGGATCGAAGCCAAAGTACGACATTTACATTGACAAGAATCTGGTGACGTGGGTGGATGGCAAAAAATTCTTTCCCATTGGAGCTTATATGAACGACCTTAATCAATTTGACATAGATCATTTCAATGATTCACCATTCAATTTGATGAAGGTTGGTGGGCACTCCAACAAAAAGGCACTCGACGACTTGTACGAGAAAACACATGGAAAAATCAGAGCACTCAATCCAATGGCAAATATGTACTGTGGAACAAACCAGACGTTGAAAAACAATTACTTAGCAACCATGAAAGCATTGATTGAAGATACTCAGACGTCAAAAGGACTCTTTGGGCATTATATCACAGACGAACCGGGTGCGTCGTGTGCTCCAATGATGAAAGAGGTGACGCGTATGATCAGAGAAATAGATAGGCAACACGTCTCGTGGCCGACGATCAATTTGAGATTCAATTATGACATATTTAAAGAGGGATTTGATTGTGTTGGTATTGATGATTACCCCGTCCAAACATTTGACAGCTTGCAGTCCATTTGGGTGATGGTGACGCAAGGAAGAAAGAAGATGATGAATTCAAGAGCGATGTGGGCTGTTCCTCAAATATTTGATTGGACTGTTTATAACGACAGTTATAACTTGGACTGGTCAAAGGAATTTCCACCAACATATGACCAGTTGAGAAACATGGTGTATCAATTTATTGCTTCTGGTGCGATGGGTGTTGTGTACTACGACTACACTGAAATGAAAGTAATGGACTATAAACACCCATTTGAAAAAGAATGGACGAAAGTCAAGGATGTCACTTATGAACTCCGAGACAAATTCTCTGACATCATCCTATGTGTGGAAGACCCAATCAACACGGATTACAAAATCCCTGTCAACTTGGGACTGGACTTTACTAATTACGTCTCGACACGACAGTGGAGCTGCAATGGATCGGATTATATATTAGTTGTGAATGTGAGAAACGTGTTGTATAATTACACATTCTACAAACCAAACAAGTCGTACTGTTTGGAACAACTGATGGGAAATGGAACTGCTACAACAATAAATGGAACGTCTATTTCTTTGAAAATGGACAGAATGGACGTCTTCTGGTTCCGTGGTTACAAAAGCAAAAAGAGTGAATGCGATGAAATCATTAATCTGTCTAGTACAAATGGCATTTACGTTCTTATGGCTATGGCTCTTTTTATGATTTTATTGTAATTTCATTTTAAGCCATTGAATTATCTTCGATTCGGTTTTAAAACGATCAAAAAAAATAAGAGTTTAATTAGGCACTTTTAAAATAAAATTTCTTAAATATGAATTTAAAATACTGTGTTTTTTAATTTTTACTTAACTGTGTTCATAAATGTACTAATCTAAATAGTAATAAGATTGACTCTATTAATTATTTTGAAGAAACCTTGTATATATAGGTTCATTCAATAATTGTAATGACTCTATTTTATACATTAAATTATATTATATTCTTTAATATCATCGAAAAAGTGTCTAAATACATTTTGCACATTTTCAATAACAACTAACTTCCATTATTTTGAACTTAAAACTCTCCTTACGATTTTTGTATAAAGAATTAACAAAAATATATTTCATAACTTAAAGTTTTATAATTATTAATTATTACCAAGTATATATATAATATTTTATTATTAACAATAGTTTTAATTAACAATTTACTATTTAAAAAACAACAAACTAATATCCACTTTTTTGAACAAGTAAAAGATACAAAAAATTGATCTTTTTGAACAAAATAAAAAGGTCAAATGAATCGACTTCTTGTTTTAAAATGTTTGCGGGTTTTAAATCAATTGTTTTAGATGACCAATTCCCCGACTTTGAACATCAAGACACTGATGTATAATAACAAGATATAAATGGATATCGAACATCCAAAAATTGAACATTTTTTGAAGGATAAAATTTTTTTGGACACACATCGATTGTAAAGAAAGGGTTTTACTTTAAAAATTCCGTATATAAAGTCCATCTAAGGAAGTACAAAACATTAAATGGCTGCTAAAGACGTTGAAAGTGGCATTGAACTCTCCGATGAATCACCCGAAATATCTTCTTCCACTTCTGAAGAAGATGCATACTTTGAAACCACTGATGTAGTTGGTAATGATAAATCACCAAACTCCATCCGTAAGTTTTTACGAACAATTTTATTCCGAGCAGCCATTCCACAAATTATGAAGGGCAGAAAGGGAAATTTGACAATCAAAGACATGAATCCCGTTTCAAGAAGACTGAACGTTGAGAACGAAGTCAATTTTTATGTTGATGCTTGGAACAAGGAACTTAAAACAAAGAGACCATCAATATCATGGGTGATCTGTAAGAGAGAGTGGAAGTGGTTCCTGATTATGTATATATTGACAGTCATTTTTGACTTGTTTTGTATCTCATTCCCATTGATGTGCCAGTACTTTACCAAGTGGCTTAACACCGAAAATCCTTCAAAAGGAATTGGTGCACTTTTTGTCGTGTTGACGATTGCATTCCAATTGATTACTTGTACTTCATCAGAATTTGCTAAGAAATATTACTTCACCACAGCTTTGAGAATAAGAAATGGACTGACAGGTCTTATTTATGAAAAAGCTTTAAGGCTCAATGCGGCCGGAATTGAAGAGCCGGGAAGACTTGTGAACTTGATGTCAAACGACTCGTATCTTATCTTAAACAACATTGAAACTTTAATGATGGGAATTGCTTCTCCACCAATGTTCATTGTATTGTACTCATATTTGGGGACTTATGTCGGGAAATGGGTATATGTCTCGTTAGTTATTTTGGCTGTCTACCTTATTGTCAACTTTATCTACGGAAAGACAAATGACTTCTTTTACAACAAATTTGTTTCGAACAAAGATTTGAGGTTGTCATTCTTTAATGAAATTTTAAGGAACATAAAGTTCATTAAATACAACAGATGGGAGAACCCACTTGAAGAAAAGATCAAGAAATTCAGAGCTTGGGAATTGGTTCATTTGTATTTCACTGGGTTTTTCAGAGCTTTGTTTTACATGGTAACCATTGATGTCGGTTTGTTTTTCTGTTGCTTAGACCGGTTTTAAATATAATAAATATACCTCTCCATTATGTAAAATTAAACAAAAAATTATATTTTGTATTTGAAACATAACAATAAGGACCAATGATGGCTATTTTGATGTTTGTTGCTATGGTATACTCAAAAGTCGAGCTTACCATTCCACTTGTTGTTACAGTCCTTTCATTGTTCAATTCTATTAGAATTCCAGTGAGAACAATTGGTATGGGTATGATGAATATCTCATGTATTATTGTTTCGATGAAAAGATTGAAAAAATTCTTGATGACCCCCGAATTGGTACCAATCACATCAACTGTAAGTAACAGTGAATATGCAATTGAAATGAGCAGAGTGAATTATGCATATCCAAACAATGAAACTGCTTTTGCCTGTGACGATTTGAAGATTAAGAAAGGAGAGCTGGTCTGTGTACTTGGTAGTGTAGGCAGTGGTAAAAGTTCTTTCTTGATGTCCATTTTGAACGAATTGGAAAAGACACAAGGAGACACCGTGATTAATGGCAAAATTGCATACACAAGTCAAACACCTTGGATGATGAATGCGTCAGTTCGAGAAAACGTCTGCTTCTTAACTTCTTATGACAAGAAACAATACAAACAAGCTGTTTTCGACGCCTGTTTAGCATCAGATATTGATTCTTTGGTTGGCGGCGATGCTTATGTAATTGCAGAGAAAGGTGCCAATTTGTCGGGAGGACAGAGACAAAGAGTCAACATAGCAAGAACTTTGTACGACCCGAAAGACATTGTGTTAATGGACGACCCACTGAGTGCGGTCGACTTTAATGTGGGTACTTACATCTTTGAAAATGCCATTCAGAAACATTTGGCAGGAAAAACTCGGATAGTAGTAACAAATCAGACGTACTTCTTGGAGAAAGCAGACAGGATTTTGGTCATTGAGAACAACCAAATGGTTTTTAATGGTTCTTTAGAAGAACTTAAGAAGTCAAATATTCCGGCTTCAGAATATGTAAAGACTTTAAGCAAAAGAGCACAGAAAGAACAACAAAAAGAAGAAGAAATTATCACAGCGGATGCTTCGGGTACAAAAACACGAGAAGAAACAAAAGAAGTGGGTAGAGTACCACTCAGGGTGTTTTGGGAATACATAAAATCTGGCTCTCTCGTTATGTTTGTTATCATGTGGATCTGCCTTGCCGGGAGAATTTGTGCACTCTATTACTATAACACTTACTTCACTAAATGGGCACAAACAATTCGTCCAAAAATGGGCGCGCCACAGGGGGATCAAGCTACTTTCAACATATTTGCTTACTGTTTCATTGGTGATGTTGTTGGTATCCTTTTGAGCGAAGAAGCGATCATTCTCTTTACATTGTTTGTTTCACTTGGGTTACACAAGAGACTTATCCACAAACTGTTGAAGTGTAAATTGGGGTTCTTTGATGTGACGCCAATGGGTAGAATTGTTAATTACTTCTCAAAAGATTTCCAGAATATCGATTATGGTATGGGTCTGTGCTGTGAACCACTGATTGTGAATATCACCACTATTATCATTGTAACAATAACAGTCTGTAGGGCGTCTATTTACTTAATTATTTTGGCAATTGTTATAGCCATCATTTTTATTATCATTTATATGTTCTCCGTCAAGCCAATCATTGAATTGCAAAGACTTGAGGGTATTACAAGAGCTCCCATCTTTGTTCACTATGATCAAACTCTTTTGGGTTTGTCTACAATAAGAACATCAAACGGACAAGAGCAATTCAAAGAGAAGTTGATTGAAAAACTGAAGAACAATACAACGACTATGTACCTCACTAAAATGGCAAAACTTTGGTTTGTTCTTTGTTTGCTTTAAATTTGAAAGTTAAACAACAAAAATAACATATAGGATGGGTCAGCGTATGGACTGGTTGGGTGTTTTCATCACTTCAGTCACCGTTTTAGTTCTTGTAATCACCAAAATAACCAAATCAATGGACCCCTCTGTTGCTGGAACCGCTCTTTCAAATGTGTGCAACGTTCCATCCACTGTAAGTGTCTTCACTCAAGCCATCATAGAACTCGAGTCAACCATGCAATCAACTGAGAGAGTTTTGCAGCTTAAAAAGTTGAAAGAGGAAGAGGCAGAAAGTGTGAAAGACAAGTACCACAATCCACCATCATCATGGCCGTCAAATGGTTCTATTGAATTCAATAAATTCAAGTTTAGATACAGAAGAGGTCTCCCCGTCGTGTTGAAAGGAATCACAGCCAAAATATTGCCAAAAGAGAAGATTGGAGTTGTTGGAAGAACTGGAAGCGGGAAGTCCACATTAATGGCTGGACTTTTCAGAATAGAAGAAGCTTATTCTGGTAAGATTAAAGTCGACGGAATTGATATTTCAACAATTCCATTGGACATTTTGAGGAAGAGGATGTGCATTATGCCACAAGAAGCAACACTCTTTAGTGGAACTGTGAGAGACAACTTAGACCCATGGAACCAAATGGAAGATGAAAAGTTGAGGAATGTACTAAAAATGGTTGAATCAACAAATGACCTTGGAGACGAAGTGACTGAAGGTGGAGACAACTTTTCTTTGGGACAGAAACAACTTATTTGTCTGGCGCGAGCACTTTTGAAAGGTTCAAAAATTTTGATCATGGATGAAGCTACTGCAAATATCGACATTCAAACAGACAAAAACATCCAGGAAATGGTCAGAAGAAACTTTGAGGATATCACAGTGATTACTGTTGCACACAGATTACAAACTATCATGGACGCAAATAAGGTGATGGTTTTCGATAAAGGAAAATTAAAGGAAATGGACGCCCCAATCAACTTGATTGAAGACGAAAAGTCGATATTTAGCGGACTTGTGCAACAATCTGGGTGCGCAGACGAACTCAAAAGAATTGCGAAGGGATCATTCAAAGAAAACATGGACAATTCTTCAAATGAAGAAAAGAGTGGTTCGTTAAGCCCACAAATCGAGGTCAATTTATTGGCTACCGACTCTACTAGAGCATCACCAATCCAATTCCAGGAAACGGTTGGTAGAAATCAATCGGAACAAGAATTACTGAATAATCCTAATCTTGCAAAATCGGCAGATTCACCACCGTCGACTGATTAATGATATTTTTTAGTTAATTTTTATTATGCTTTGGTCTATATCAATTTTGGTATATAAATGGATATTTTTACTTTCAGTATTATAAATAAAATGACATTGTTATGATGGGAAGAAGTTTATAATTTATAAATAAGTTTTTGAGTCTAAAAACAAATCAGGGAAATAATATGCCTTTTGTTGTAATTAGAACATAACTGTTTTATAAACACTTCTTTTTCATGTTTTTTAAATATTTTTAATTATTTCAATACAAAAATAACAATGAAAAGTTGAAACAATATTTAAAAAATGACTACTAATATGTTCAAAGTGCATCAATGTTTATTTCCTTTTCTGTGCCTCTTTGAGTTTCATTTACAATAATTTCGAGTCTCTCAACAACGTTGTCTATTTTGATTCTTTCTGCTGGGTCTTGTTTCCACATACATTGTACAAGATCTGCGATGTCTTTATCAACTGTGGAAAGGTCTGGTCTTTTACCTTCACAGACGTGATTTGCAATTTGAAATGCGAATTTAATGTTTGTATAAGCCTTACCCCAAATAGATGTTTCGTATATAGTAACTGCAAACGCGTAAATATCTGCGGGCAATTGATATTTTTCGCTGTTTAATATCTCTGGTGACATGTATATTGGTGTACCAATTCCACATGTGAACGTCATGTCAAATGCAGCTGCTCTATTTACATTTCTAGAGCTTCCAAAGTCGCTCAGTTTGGCGTTTACCTCGTCGTCGAAGGAGAGTGCAGTGATAAGGATGTTACCCGGCTTGATGTCTCTATGCAAAATACCGTTTTGATGGAGGTAAGCTATTCCCTTTGACGAGTCAAGACAGAACTTCATTCGCAACTTCTTTGGGATCTTTTTGCTCTTGACCTTTTCAATCAGGCGACTCAAACTCCCGTGTGGAGCCATTTCCATAACAATCATTCTACTATTGCCAACGTGGACAGCACCAAAAAATTTTATGATGTAATTGCTCTTCATCTTTTCAAGCATCTCAACTTCATTTTCAAACTCAGCAAAAGCAGAGTCGCCCTGCAAGATGTTCAGTTTTTTGACTGCAACCTTATTGCCCTTGAACTTGCCTTTGTAGACAACACCAAACGAACCTTTTCCAATCTGTTTCATGTTCTTTATTGAGTTCTCGTCAATCCAAGTCGACAGTACAGTCTCTGCAGAATATGGGATTATTTCAGTCATTTCATCACCGCTTTTGAGATAACAGTAAACAACAGCCAAGTTTCCTGTATACTCCCCTGAACAGTAAGGAGTAATTGCAATTGAAAAGGTGCAGCACTCACCCTTCCGTAATAAAACAACATCAGGCTTAATCTCAATTTTTAACGACTCACTTTGAGATGTTGTGATTTGGAGTTTTGTTGTGTCGTTTGTCGCATTGCCTAGCACTATATTCATCACTGTTTCTTTGTTTACTTCGACTTGATCAACATATGAAATTTGTTTTTGGGAGATAGAAAGACCCTCTCCAAACGGGGTAAGCAAAACACTGTTTTCGGACATTGAAATGACACCCTTTTCCTTGCGCTCCTTTGCACGGAGTCGGCTCTTGATTATCTTTCTGCCAATAACTACCATAAGAAATGCTGCAATAATTATTACAACAATCACACAACAAACAACTATTGTGATAGTTCGCTTGTAAAGCTCCGGTTTGCACGCTGTTTTATCATGTGAGAGTGCGTGCCACATATTACATTTTGTGCAGTATGAATTAATAACAGACTTACAATTATCAATTGCAAGCCGTTCAACACATTGATTATTTTTTAATTCCCAATTGTTTAAACATTCTTCACATGTCGTCTTTGAATTGCACATTTTACAATTCTGCGAGCATGTTTCACACCGCCAAGACGACAAGAAATAGTTGTTCTCACATAAATAACATCCATTTTCATTGGTCTGCTTGCAACCAACCAATTCAGACACACTCTCGCAGTGACTCGACTCGTTTTTAAAGTACGAAGTCTCACACAAATCACATGATTCACTGTTTGTACACACTTTGCAATTGGGAGAACATTTAGAGCAAGTTGAATCATCTACATAGTAACCATCCACACATGAGATACAACTGCCACTTGGGTTAAACTGTTTACAGATACCCTCCAACTCAAAGATTGTCAAACACTTCCCGTTCTGCAGCACAGTCCCTGCAATACAATCCTGGCACTTCTCGGCATTGCCAGTGCACTGCTTACACTTCACATTACATCGTACACACTTGGTGTTTTCGGTATAAAACCCATCTTTGCATTGAAGACAGCCAACTTCACTGTACTCAAGACAACTATCTTCATCAATATTTGGTATTACATCAACACAATTCCCATTAAATAATTTCTTTGGTTTCAAACACTCCAAACAAATACTATTTTGATAGAACAAGCAATTATCAATTGGCATAAAACATTTCCCTTCTGATGACATAACATACCCATTTTCACAACTCATACACACATTCTTATTCAACACCGCACAATGTGTCGCTTCACAATTTCCCGTGATATTTACTATATAATTTAGCTTACATTTTATACACTTCTTTTTATCACACATTTCACAATTTGTGTATTTCTCTGAACATATTTTACAAGACTTGTTCTCATCAAAATAACCATCTGAACAAGCAATGACTCCATTTGTTGTTGCTAAATACCCTTTCCCCGTCGATGCGTCTTCACATTTTCCATCAATGAGTGTTTTTCCATCTGCGCAGATTTCACAACTCTCTTTGTTGCAAGTCAAACATGTCGCATCGCATTGGACTTGCTCACCGTTTTTGTAATCAAAGTATCCAGTCGTTTTAAGACAGATTCCCCCAAGAATGCCACGACACTTGCTCTGCTCCCCAAAAAGACAAACACCCATTTTCAGCATGAAATAATTCTTTGCACAGTTAATTGCATATGTAGCATTCACACAATCCTCTGTATTGTCACCACATTTCGAATACTCACTGTTGCCTTTGTAGAATTTATGGGAGATGTGCTTCCCACCTGATGAATGTTTTGAATGCATTGTATTATCAACAAAATACACATATTCAGAATATTTAAACAATTCGTTTTGCTTTTTATTAAGCAATTGTTTTCCATTTGTTCTTGCTTTGGTTTGTTCTTTTAAATTGTTATCACCAGAAACTTCGGTTTTGTACAACTTCTTTTCTTTTGATGTGTTTATTTTTGTCGTGTCTTGTTTTTCGTTTATTTCTTTCTCAATAATGTTCTGAATTTTTATTTTCTTAACATTCTTATAATTTTGAAGCAAATTATGTCCAGTGTTTTGTTTATATTTACTTAATTCGGCAAGTTTTATTCGCTGTCTTTTTTCAACTTGAACATAATTTGGTCTTTTTGATATTCCCCAACCGATGTAACTCCTTTGTGTTTCTTTTCCATTTAAATTTGAGGTTTTTATTGTGTTTTGAATTGAGTTTTTGTTTATTTTTGGTGCGAAAGCATTTTCTCCTTTAGGCAAATACGTGTAATTAAAATAAGTCCGACTCATCACGAGAACTCCAACGTCTGTAATTTCTGGAGACATTAAAGTGTAATCCTCAGACACTAAGGAATATATTACAAGTGGCATGTTTGAAAGCCCAAGAACCCGAAACTGAGCCTTACCCAATCCTACATCAAGTGTATCGATCCCACTGTCAACGTCGATCATTGGATAGTCCTTGCACGTCAGGAAGTATCTCGTCCAATTCCCAAAGTAAACAAATTTCTCTGTTAGTTCGGAACACTTGGGTATTTGTGCTGTATATATACCTTCTTCTCCTGTCAGTCTAAAATTGCCATACAAAAAAATTTCGTTTCCATTTTTACTTGTGTCTGCAATGACATCTACGGGATTGTCCCCAACAATATCAATAAACATTGGCCAGTTTGGAATACCTTCAATTCGCATTTGATTGTTCTTGGGAATAATTAAAAGATGTCCGTCTTCATATGACGGGTATGGACAGTTTGGCGCAGTAAATGGGTAGTCTGTCATCCCACGGTCATACCATGGGACGAAGTTGGTTCCATTCATAAAGCAAAACGCTGTGTAATTAAAAGGTTCTGATGTGTTAGGGCATATCCTTTGAATTGTTCCATTCGCAACAAGTTTTGATGTTTCTGTCTCGTCCAATTCATATGAATAAATATATCCAAACAAGTCAAAACATCCATCTGCCTGAAAGGAGTCGTCATACACTTGTGTATTCCCTTCTAATACATTAAAAATAGGAGGTTCGAGTATAGAAGGATGTGACACTGTAATTAATGCATCTAAAACTACAACAGCAAAACACTCTCTATACAACTCAATACTATCAATTTCACTGTTACAATTGTCCTCATTTATAAAATCACCAAAGAGGTATATGTATGCACCAGACTCTACAATTGACTCAAGAACATAATCATTGGACTCCTTGTCATTTTCCAAATTGTTGTTTTCTTTTGGTTCACCAATAAAGTATAATCCTTGGTTGATTTCTATTGACATCGCTTTGTTGAAAGCCGACGAAGTGCCATTGAAAATTCAACACAAGAATGCACTTTCACGTGAGAATTTGGCCAAAATGTCACATCGGATAGATCATGAAACGAGAGCACACAATAGTCAAATGTCACCGTTTCTTTAATGTTGTTGAAAACAACTTCAGAATCAGAGTAAAAGTCGACGTTTGCTGTGTCTGTTGTGACAAAAAGTGTTGTTAATGTGGAAACAGAGAAATTCGAAAAGACGAGTTGGGCTGTTTCTGCTAGTAACAATTTTCCTGATGAAAATTGTGTCTTGCCTGTGAAAACGACAATTGCGTTGTTTGTCACCAAAATAGTATTAGCCACGCGAATGAGTGACAGCCCAGAACACTCAAGTGTTGAAGAATTGTAAAACAAAACGTCGAATGATTCATCTCTACTTTTTGACACTTTTGATGTAAAGCTTCCCATTAATATAAGTTTTGACTCTCCAAAAAGTGTGATTGGTTGTGTTGCATCAATTTTAGAGTTGATGCCAACGCCAAGAACCGCAGTGTCTTTAAGAAGCAAATTACCATCAAATAATATCGTCTTTTCATTCAAATCTTGTTGTTCAACTTCTTCTTGATCACTCTTTTGATTTTTTGTACCAAACGTTGCGTTTCCTCTAATTTCAAAATTTGAAAATATAAAGTGTGCTGTGTTCCCATCAATAACACCCTTAGTTTGTTCTCCAAAAGAAATTGTGTTTGACTCTATTGTAACTTCATCATAAATAAAAATTTCGGAATTTCCATGTAACATAATACCAATCGCTTTTAAATTTACTGCAAAGTCAATTGTCAATTTTGAGTCAACAACATTTATACTCCCAAGAATAACCTCACCATTTAATCTAAATTCAGAACCAGATTCGCCAATAACACTCAGCTCATTGGAATTTGTCTTCGTCTGAAATATTGCAGTCGATTTGTCTGACAATTTTAAGGTGTGCACTCTTGTTGAAACCCATGACACAGTATCCATATAAATACTACTCAATGAGATAACTTCAATTGTGTCCACATCTATTGTACTTTTGGTTATAATAATTGTATTATTTAGACTTGTCTTGAGTTGTTTTGTTATAAGTGTTGCATTTTTTTTTAAAATGAGAGTTGAGTCTTTCTCCATTATGATTAAATACGAATTAATATTACATGAAGTGCACACAAGAAATCCACTGCTTTTGATCAGAATGTTACCATTAACATAAAGTCTTCCATTTTTCCCAACTTCTACAACTTTGTCAATTTCTACATTACCAATAACTGTAATAATTCCAGAGTCAAACGAAACACCTCTAAACATAAAATTTGAGTCAATAAAAACAGTTGAACTGTCCGCTAGAGTAAGTACATTCCCATCAAACATTGTAAGACCATGAATTGTCGAGTTTGAATTGGTCAGAAATGAAAACGAAGTCTGTGTGATAACACCACTTTCAAATGTTATATCATAATTTCCATCAAACTCGAAGTTATTAATTGAACTCATATCTGCAAGACAACTCGATGTCATGTTAAAGAAATAAGAGATATAAAGCACTTCACATATCTTGGAGTCTCCTTTTCCATCTGTTTATAAGTTGAACATATCACAACAAAATAATTAATGAAATTGTGTTAAAATAAAAGAATAATAATTGGGTAGATTGTGGAAAACAAACAGAGCAATTTAAGACCTGTCTCACATTGGCTGGAGGTTGGTGAGCAGACAATTGTCTGAGAGACGGCTACAACAAAGAGTACAACTATAATCATCGAAATGTTACAAAGTGAGTTCTTGCTTCTCTATTTATTTCTCACAAAAAATGAACAGAAGACGTTTTTTTTCTTCGGACTTCGTCGAGCACACTATTGGACACTTTTTAATAATTAAATCAAACACTCTTCAACATTTTGCCTAAACTTATCTTAATCCCAGCAATAGTACCACTATAAGAACAATGAGATGTTTTTTATTACAAAACACAGTTATTTTAACACTAAAATGTTATTTTGGTGTACTTAAAAATGGAAATTTGAACCAACCAAATTTTTTAAAAGTTATCCCAAGTCTTAGATTCAATTAAAAACTCATTTGATAATTAAAAATGTTTTTAAAAGTGTGCTTTATTTTAAGATAAAAGAACAATCGACAGTTCACAATTGCAAATTAAATAATAATTAAAAATTATATTTGATAATATATAGAAAGGATTATTCTTTGAGTTTTTGATGAATTTTTTTGGTAATATCTTGGTACAATTTGATGATAATTTCCTTTTTGATTATTCATGTTTAATAAGCCCGGTGTTTTCAATAAACAATAATAATACATTGAAAACATCAAAAAGAAATGGGAAAACCCCTAAATAATAGCATAAGAAGAAAAAAATAATATTAGTGCAAAAAATATCGGTTTTAACTGTTATTTATTTTTAGAATCAATCAAATTTTTATTTAACAAACAAAACATCAATTATTTTCAATATGGATTTATTTGACCAATTAACTGGGGTTATTGTTTAGTTTAAAACAGTATTATTATTTTTGAGTTTTCTCAAACCAAGAAAATGTGTTTGATTACATTGGTATTTTTGTAAATAGGTAAATTGTTGAAAAATCGATTAACTTGCTAAATAACAATAAATGATAGTGCCTTGTTTCGATAAGAAGTGTGAAAAGTGATGTGATAAAAAGATGTGCTTGTTTTGTACCTTTTGAAAAATTCAAATAACAATGAATGCCAAGAATACAATCACTATTTTTGAATATTTTAATTAATATAAAGTGAGTATTTTCAAATAATATCAAATGGTTTTTGTTTTGTGAAAATCGCAGTTTAACTTAAACTAAAAACAACTCCTAAAATACACACAAATTATATAATCATCTCAATCACTTCTTTTTGAATTGATAACTCTTCCCACTACATCAAGCAGTGTTTGTGTATTAAACTCAGTTTTAAATGAACATTCAACGTACCCAGCAGCTTGTATACTCCGTGCAAATTTTAGTCCATCTTCCATCTCGACTTTCCGTTCATCGTCTTCGACGTTGTTTGTGTTTCGGGTTTCGCAATCTGTTCCCACTAAGATAACACCCCCTGTCATTTCATTTTTGTTGACTTCACACAAAAACCTGAACTGCAGTGCGTCAAAAGAAAGATATGAAGCAACAGAATAATCCAAAACAAAGACGTCAACGCTTTTCCAGCACGACTTAAAATTGTTATTATATTTTTTTGAACTATAATTCATCAGTACCACCCCTCTTTCCATCAAAAAAGAGCTGTCACTTATTAAAGTCTCTTCATTAATATTTTCAACACATTGTGTGCATTTCTTAAAAAGATTTGTTTTTAAATAATTTCCAAGTAGTTTATTTTCTTGTCCAATTAACATTATATTAATCTTTGATACTTTCATCTAAAATGACTTTTTAAGTTTATATTTTAAATTGTATATGAAAATTGGTTTCTTGTTTCGATTTTCAATATTTTAATTGTTCAAAAATTGTACCAAACAAAATATTAAAAACTTCGTTTCAGTGTTTATACCCATATTGATTATTCTTCTTTCAAACTTCTCATAAATTTAATGCATATTCATTTATTATTTAAAATTTAACACATCGCAATGTTTCAACTTAACCCAAATAATTAATTAATTAATAATTCGAGAATAATTTGGTGAACAAGTAAAGTACGATGCACATAATAATGAATATGACAATAACTGGAAAGAGTTCTGTGTATGAGTTGTATCCAAATATCAATAAAAAAACAAACCGTACTTTGGGACAGGTGAGCTGACAAAGTTATAGTCATTCGATACGCTGAATACTTTTTCCTTTTCACACATGGTGTCAGTCACAATGAAGTTATGGTGACGTTTCTCACAAATTGTTTTCGCTTCTTTTAAGTCGACAAGCACAACTGTTCCATCATTCGTTCCAACCGACGCGACATTATCTATTTCATTCACAGAAAACCCAGACGATATTTGGAATTTGGAGAGATACACCAATTTCTTCATTTTATACTCTTCCTTATCCAAAGCGACAAAGTATGAAGGTGTTTTGGGTTGCATCATTCCAACAAAAATAGTTTCGTTGTTGCAGGCAACACCCCAAAATATTTTGTTATCCCACTTCTTGTTCAAATCTTCAGGAAACACTTTCTTGACAAGGTCCCCACTCTTGAGATCAAATATTGCCAGAAATCTGTCGTGAGTTGTACACATTAAAGCAGTCGTATTGACACAGAGAGCATTGACGACATTTTTAATCTCATGGGCAAACGTTTGGACTTTTGTGAGGGTCTTTGCCTCAACACTCCATTTCTGGATTTCTCCACTACTCCAACCAACATAGAGAAACTTTCTTTTCTCGTCGTAGTAGAAACATTTCGCCTCGATCATATTCTCTTCAGCATCTTCAACATCAAGTGCTTTGTAGCGCTGACAACTCTCAAATTGAACATCTGATATATTCAAAAACTCATTTGTGCTATACACAAAATATTCCTTTTCTCCTTGTTTGAGGGATATCAGACAGGAAACGGCGTCGCCACCAGTCTCGTGAAAATCGCCTTTTTGTGGTTTGCTTGAAACTTTCACAATCCCATTTTTAACACCACTGTGACAACTTCCTCCACCTCCTCCAACATAAAAAGTCTCGCCACAACGACACATGCTATAGACAGGAATCGTGCAGTTGATCTTTTCCATTAATTAATTTATTAAGTTGGTTGTATTCTTCATTTTTTTGATTTATTTTAATTTACTAAATTAAGAGTTTTATTCGTATTTAAATGGTAAAACAACTATTCCAAATATTATGAAAAACACAGAAAGAAAGTATTATAATTTTACCATACAACAAATTTATATCATTTTGTTTTTATTACTATAAAATATAAAAACCAAACTATTACTTCTAAAATCACATTAGTTAAATTAATTATTAATATTATATTAATAATAATATTAATTATATTACTATCATCAAATAGTTTTATATATCATTGAAATTACCAAATTACAATAACAAAAAAAGTTGAATAACAAATTACAATTGACAACTCTTTTATAACTTTTCAAAAAAAAGAGAATTTAAATATTTAAGTTAATAAATTTAAAAATATACTATTTAATGCTAGTATTTAATTGTAAAAAACATACAAATATAATAGATTGAAATTCCACGTAATTCAATAAAATCAACTAAAAACTGGAAAAGTAATTGAAATGTTTTGAATTAAAAGAGAATTGTTTATTTTACTATTTATATAAAATAAAAAAATCGTTAATAATTAGACAAAAATCTTAGACAAAAAAATAGTGTGCCAATGTATTTTACCAATATTTGTTTAAGATCTTTATTTTGTGAATAGTTTTCGTATTCCCCAAAAGTTTTCCGCACTTTTTTCTTATTATTTTATACGAAAAAATATCATATTGAAGTCTTCGAGAAACACAAAAAGAAGGTGAATGAAGGTATAAAAGTGTTAATTACAACTCGATATTACTTACCTCCACAATCATGCAAACAGAGTTCCCTCTCAAAAACACCGAAACAATGAAATTCTTAGACGGGATACACAAGTATACTGGGTTCACTTATTACACCACCATTTTGGATTCTGCAAGTAACAATTTGAATAAGTGCACACTTAATCATACTCTCCAAAATCACAAAAACGTTTTGACGATTTTCGAGACAAAGAATGGTAACTTCTTTGGCGCATTTCATTCTACTATTCAAAAACTCAATGACTATGAACTTCAAGTCGACGAAAAGTCTTTTGTGTTTTCATTTGTCAACGGAAACTTCTATTGCAGTCGAAACTATGACAATGGTTCATATTTTAACTCGCCAAAGAATTTGTATCAAGTCGCTCAAGCTTTCAAAGTCGAAGATAATTTAAACACAACGTATTCCGCTTACTCAAACCGGTTTTATAACAACACAATTTGTTTCCCAGAAGAAAACCCAATCAAGTTCGTAGCAGTGTGTCTTTCTAAGTGACTTATCTTCATCATTTTCCGTCGTGCTATGACGGTTGTTTTTCAGAATAAGAAAAAACATTTTGTTTTTTTAATAACATTTTTCATGATTTTTCACTTTGAAACAAATTGTATATTAATAGTTTAATTTACTATAATAATGGTTGTTCTAAAAAAGAGATTATTCCACGCAGCTTTACGTCATCGCACTTCTTATATAGAACTAATAGTAAAATGATATATAAACTAATTAGAAAAAGAAAGAATGAGGGTGTCAGAGAACCAAAAATACAAAAGAGACAACTATATAATATAGTAAAACAATTATATAAAAATAGAATCTTGAAATGAGATGACGGAAACTATAAAAAATTAGAAAATGGACAATGGTTCGAAAATAGCGACTTCGACCACCCAAGTTTCAATACCAAAACCTGATCCGACTGAACGTGCACAACCGGGTAACCCTACTGATATGTCTCCATATCAATCATTCACGCCATATGTCCCTCAAAATGTGATGTTTAAAACAGAACCTCCACAGTTTCCACAGAGCTATGTCGACGATATTTATACTCCAATTCATAGGAGGAAGAAGAAGTTTCAGAATATCGACTACTCGAAGTTACTCTCGGAAGACGACTTACAAAGCATGACTCTTGAGGAGTTCGATGACTACACAAACGAACTCAAGGACCGAAGAACTCTCACAAAAAACGAACGAGCCACTCTTAACAAAATTAAGAGAAAGCTCAAGAACAAGGAAAGCGCAAGAAAAAGTCGACAGAAGAGCAAAGAAGCTTTCTCACAACTTCAAGAACAACTTGAAGAACTTCAGAAACAATACGACGACGTCCTTCGAATCAATTGTAAATTAGTTAGAGTCGCAGACGAATGCCCCGAGTGCAGCAAGAAAATTAGACAGGTCCAAAGCGCTATACAAAACTTTTCGCAGATAACTGCAATACCACCATCATAACACAAAAATGAAAGGAAAGTTGATATGTTGTCTTGAATTATGTTATTAAATTATTTATTTTATGTTATTCACTTTATATTAATATTAATATTATATATTATAGTAACAGTACTTTACTATATAACTATAGAATAATTATAATAATAAATAATATAACTACCATTATTAGTATTATATATTAATAAATAAACTATATATTATAATAAAGTAATCAAATAGATATAAATAAAAACCTCAATATAACCTTAAAAGTTCATTCAATGATTTAAATATAATAATAACAAAAATTATAATTAGAAGTGTTTGTTATATACATTATTATATACTCTGATATTATTCATATTAATAAAATAATAGTTTTATAATACTTAAAAAGTTAATCATCTTAATTATTTTATTATATATTATTTATATTATATCAATTATAGTATTTAATAATAAAAAAAGGTACAAACTAAAAAAAAGGAAGAACAATGAGCAAGTGCGAAGAAGAACTTCAGGTGATGCTTTTGCAATATGTCAGAGAGAAATACGGGCAGAAAGCGTTCACACAAATATCTGCAGAACTCAAAATATTCTTAGACACGACTCACGTCTTCAATTTAGTCGATACCGATAAGTTGGAGGAGTTGGACGAGTACTTGTCGTCATTTGTCGAGTTTGTCTTTTTAAGGGTTTTGTTCATCACTTTTTATAAAACCCGATAATTTCTTCATACCAAGACTTATTTTTAGTTTAAAGAACAACAACGACACCACTTTGTTATACCTCATCCGTCGGTACCTCATTTTAAGGTACGCGCAAATGCACGACTACGTTGAAGGGAAGAAGTACTACACAAAATTGTCGCAACTTCCCCAATTCGAGAAGGAAGTAACTGACAAGACGATCCTCTCGTCCATCTTTTTCGACCCAACCCTTTGTGAGACTGAAATAAAGAAGATGGGCAATTTGGAAGAGTACAGGAAAACAAAGCTGAGACTCCAAATCAGTGACCTCATCAATACAAGCGAAAATTTGAAGAAATATCTTTCAATTGCAAATGTCGACGGGAAGTTAATCAAACGACTTGTCTCCGACGGGGTGAGGTATAGGCACGTGAAAGTATGCCACGGAAGTCCCAGCGACGACATTTCATTGCTCTCTCTTATCTCTGGTGAGCATATCCACAAAAATGAGAATAAGCCCGTCTACACAAGTTCGTGGAAATGCAGTCCAATCGATGTCTTAGGAAAGTCGACGACATTTGAACTCTCAGATTCTATCCTTTTTATCGGAATGAAAAATATGAGAATGGTCATCGTTCATCTCTCACGTGGAGAGGTGATTTGTGATTTGAAAGTTGCGGCGCCCATTTTGAAGTTTGCGGTGTCTGTGCCGTTCTTTGCGACGCTCAGCGAGACTTCTTTGTCGGTTATGAGTCTTTGTTGCTCGGGGATATCCGAGTTGTGTCGCCTCACCTGTCACGGCGTGACGGGTGTTGAGTTCATCAAAGGCACATCGCACATAGCGTACGTTGAAAACACCATTTTGAGGATTTATGACTTCATTTTGAAGAAGGAAATCTTCACGCATCAGAACGTTATTGGGGTGATACCACAAACAAAGAACGGCACGATTGTGGCAGTTCTGAAGAGCGATATGGTTCTTATCGGGTCTCAATTTAGTCAGCCGTATA